CTCCCAATAGAAGAGTCCTGTGTTTGATGGCTCTGCCGACAGGTAGCTCTGCACTCACCTGCTGCTTTGGACAGACAGCTCTGCACTGAGGACAGTCCTCAGAGTATAGGCAGCCCCTCCCTGATGGAGGAGTAGGGGTGCTGGAAGGGCTCCTGAGAATTTGTTTTAACTTCTCAGATTCTGAGGCTCATGGAGGAAAGCTCTTTACTCTCAGAGCCTGGGTTTCCCCATCTGCAAAATGTAGAGAATAAAATCTCTGCCCTGCAGAGGCACTGTGAGAGTGAGCGACAATTGGCGGAAAACTCCCAACATGCGGCAGGTGTCCAAAAAATTAGGGCAATTATTAGTCATAGACCACTGATCAAAGTCACAGACCAAATAACTGTCTACTAGAAATATTTCCCTGATTTACAGATGACAAGGAGGAGGAGGGGGGGGGGGGGGGGGGCAGTAGGAAGGCCCCACCAAGTGATGGGAGCCAAAACCAGAACCCACTTCCCTGGTAACAGATGGTGCTGCCGGTTTATCTGCTCTGCGCCCCTGTCCCCCGAAAGAGAGAGGGTCTCTGTTCTCTCTTCTCTGTCTTTGTCTCCCTCTCTCTTTCCCATCCCCAAAGCAGAGTACCCTCTGACCACCCACCTGCAGAACACAGTGGGGATGGGCATGGAAGGATCCCAGGTCATGTGGACACAAGGGAGCTGGCATCCCACAGGAGGTGGTAAGGAGCTGGGTAGGAAGGAGGGGCCTCGGCTCCAGGCCACCAAGAAACCCTGGGGTCCTGCGGGAACCCACCCGGCCTGTAGAGGGGCCTTGAAAGTGCGCCCCCAGCATTCAGATGCAAACACTGAGGCCCAGAAGGAAACGTGACTGACTCTAGCACTTCCCGGGGCGAGAGGCACTGAGGGTCGCATCTGGACCTTCGTGTATGAGGCTACGGGGCTGCAGCCTCCCACCTGCCTGCGTTTTGCTTCACGGTGCTCGCCCCTGGCGGTGCTGGAGCTCAGTCTAGATCCTGATCATGACTCTCCCCTTTCTGGGCCTCAGTGTTCTCAACTGCAAACTGAGGACTACTTCGGATCCTGCCTCCCTGCAGACTGGTTCTGAGGCCAAAGGACAGCAGGTGGTGGGTACACTCAGCTATCACAAGACCCTCCCGAGTGACCCTAGCAAGTCCTGCAACTCCCTGCAGATTTGAAGGGTTTGCTGATTTCCAAGCCCAGGGCTGCTTAGCAGAATTTACCGCCCCAGCTCCCTCTCCCCATCACGGTAGCACTTTCCTGTCTATCTAGATGCCAGCTTTTCCCATCACTCAGCCACTAGGAGGAGAGCACCAACTAGCTTGACCTGGCGATGCCTGCGTACCCCACATTTTGAGCCAGAGCAGGCTTTTAACCTGGGTCCAGCCCTCTCTAGCCTGGCTGACCTCGAGCAACGTTCCTCTTTGCTTACATGGGCATACCACCTACCACATACAATGCCATGGGCATTGAATACCATGCTTAATACCCACGTGCAGTGCCTGGCACAATGTAAAGCCTCAGCACCTCCGGCTGTTACCATTCTTCTCATTTACCATCGGAGGCGGGGGAACCAAGGCTCAGGTGAGCGCAGACACAGGGCAAAAGTCTCAGACCTCACAGGCAGTATCTGGGTCCTAACGCCCTCATCACCCTGTCTCCCCTGCTCCTTCTGCCTCCCCTCCAAGTCTGACACTTTCCAAAAAGGAAGAAAGATCTCTGTAATTCGAGAAGCACACTTGTCCTCCCACACATTCTGAATCCTTCCAGGGAGGCTGCCTAGAGAGTTGACCCTAGAGCTGGACTCCCTGGGGGTGGACCCCCAGCCTGCAGGAGACACTCCTTCCACCCAGATACACTGCCATTTTTCATTAACTTTTCTCCTTTATATATTCAGATATCATGATCTGAAATTGGGATGCAGATGAGTCCTAGTTTACTCAGCAGCATTTTCTTTCTGTTTCTTCAAACAATTGATCACAATTTAGATATCGTGAAACACGATGCCCCTCCCCTCCTAGAGAGAATCCTTAATCCCCCTCCTGTGAAATGGAGTGGTTAGAATGACCTCCATTGACAGAAGAGGAAACTGAGGCTCAGTGAGGGGCATGAATGTCCCCCTCTGCCCTCTTTGCTGAAGTAGGCTCCTGTGCGATTCGGGATATGGGAAACAGACACCTTCTGGGAAGGAAGCGGGGTCCCTGGCAGTGTCTGCTGAGGCCCAGTTGCTTCTTAGGAAAGTGTCTGCCTATGGGAGGGGCCAAAGTGAGGTTCTGAGAGGAATGGTCAGAAGGGCAATCATCAAGACCCAGCTCCTGCTGCCCCGTGATGGTGGAAACCCCCCTGTGAGCTGACTCCACGTGGAGCTAGGTCACAGCCAGTCCTTACCTTCCCCAGGCAGCATGTGGGTGAACCGAGGGGTCAGGACAGCATGGACTTGGCTCAGAGTTCTGGCAAGCTTTGAACGTGAGAACTGGACATTTCACAGATGGGAAGTGTGAGGCCCAGATCGGGGTGTTGGGGTGGGGGCAGGGTTAAAGGCCCCAGCAAGGATGGAGAGGTGTTATTTTTTCATAATGATAGTGATGGTTTCCCGTGGCTGGAGCACCCTCTGTGTGCCAGGACTGTGATAAGCACTTTACACACAACTCTGTGAAGGGCCACTATGAGTGCCCCCACTTTACAGATGAAAGAAATGAGGCTCAGAGAGACTTACGCAACTCTCCTTAGAGGGCTGTGGGTGAGAGAAGAAGACACACTCAGGTAGAGGGACTGCAGACCCAAGCTCTTTCCACTGTCCATGGGACTCTTAGGGGGCTTCCCAGAGCATACCTGCCCCTCATCTGGTACACTTGGCGGATCCCTGCCCAGGTGCTGGCAGAGGCATTGTGAATTACGCCTGCCCTGGGAAGCCCGCACCCTCACTGCCAAGACCGCACTCGGGGTGCACTCCTAAATGCCTGAGGTAGACGAATGCCCCTTCGTGGGGCAAAGGAGCTGGCTATATTTGCTCGAGGATGGGTTCTAGGTTTACCCAGCTCTGAGCTACGGTAGGGGACGAAGTGTCCTAACCTTCCACTTCGTTGTCCTGCTGTGGACAACATGCAGTGCTCTTAGGTGGGGGCCACTGGAGAGAAACTGGGCTGTTTGTCCCTCGATCTGATGGAAGAGAGAGAAAAGACGAGGGTCCATGCCAGCTGGGGAAGGGCAAGGGTGTCTGCGTGCCCCAGATGGGGGAGTGGGAGCTCTCCCTCCCATCGAACAGTTGGCAAAGGTTGTAGGTCTGGGATAAAGAAGAAGCAGGTTGGCGATCAGTGGAAATTGGGAACAAGCTAGCCAGTTCTGTGGGTCGTCCCCGGTGCCTGAAAACGCAAAGGCAGAAGGCGTCCGTCTCATCAGAGGTGAGCAAGGCAGCCTCGGTTTGACAAAGCCATCGGTTTGTCGGAAACCTGTCCGCACCGATGGCAAGGAATCGGATGGGCCTTCAGTCCGGGAAGGACAGCTCCTCGGGGGCGGCTGCCGCGCCTGCACCCGGGCTGCAGCTGGCGCGCATCTGTAGCCCGGCGGAGCCAGCACCTCCGCGGCTGGCAGGACGCGGGCGCCAACTAGCGGCGACTCCCGCCACTGTGCCTGCCAGGCGGCCCGGCGACCTAGGGCTGGGGACCCAAGGGCCTGCACCCCCGGTCCCTTGGGTCTGGTGACCACGGGCAGCGAGCGCCCTCCCGAGGGCTGGAGCCGTGCCGGGTCCTGCGCCAGGTGCCCGGGCCCACAAAAGCCCCACATTCTCTGGAAACTTGTCTGTCAACCCGCCATAAGGGGAGAGGGAGAAATCAGGCAGAGGGACAAGCAAAGGGCACGAGGCAAACTGAAAACACTCGAAACGTGGCATCTGCCACGACCTGAAACAGCGGGTCGCTGCTCCGCAACCGCTCGAGGGCAGCACGTGTCGCCCGCCCCGGGCCCGGGCCCTACCTGGCCACGACGCGCTCGGCCTTCCCCAGAGACGTTCCCGGAGGTGGGAGCGCCCAGGCCGGATCGCTCGCTTCCTCTGGTTCTGCTGCTTGTGCCAGACGAGCGAGACTTGGTCCACGATCGTCAGCTGCCAGGCGCAGGTTCTCTGAAAAGGTCCAGGCAGGGACCTTTGCCGCCCTTGTTTTCGACACGTCCTGAAGACGTGATGTGAGGTCCCGAGGGGGGTAGGGACCAGCTCTCCCGATGTTCCGGGTGAGGCCAGAGTCTTATGCCCCTGGAGCGCACGCAGGAGTTGATTTCGTTTGGCGACGACGAAATGGCGCGGGCTGGGCAGGGGTCAGATCCATCCTGCGGCCACCGTCGGATCCTAGGCTTCTTTGCTTCCGAGGCTTGGAATTAACTGTTTTGCACCTGCCGAGGGCCAGAGGCAACGAAAATCTAGCTCGGTCTCCAAAGCGGCGGGGAGGCTCAGCACGCGTTCGTCCTCCAGAGTCTAGAAGGTGTCTGGGGTGATAATTCGGAAGGATTGGGGCTTGACCTTTCCCGTGGCCCTCCTAGCTGTAGCCGGCCCCTAGGCCTGCTCGACTGACTTAGGAGGCGGGAGAGGCAGGGGTTGTTTGCAGTGAAGCCCAGGAGCGGTTGGCCGCGCAGCTGGGAGTGGGAGCGGGGACCCAGAGCCAGGCGGGCAGGCAGTGCCTCGGCGAAACTGTCCGCCGTCCCTGCGGCGCAGTCGGAGCACAGGGGCCCAAGAAGAAGTGGAGTCGGACCCGCGGAGGCCCCTTTCCATCTGCATGGAGAAAGGCAATTCTGTCCTCTGGAAGCCGGGGCCCTTAACTTTGCAGCAGTGGTTCAGTTTTCCTTTTGCCACCGACCCGCGAACTGTTTCACGATGCAGGGCTGTGACTACAGGCGTGGAGGAAAAAATTCGGGAAAACGCATTTTGCAGGCCTTGCCGTAGTTTTCAAAGAGCCACAGGCCGCCACAACGAAGAACGACGCCGCGAGGCCTGCGAGATCCTGAAACTTGTTTTTAGGGGAGAACACAGGGGAAAGGGGTTGCTGACCCCAGGATACTTAGGGTCCCTGGGAGACTCCCTTCCGTCTGTCCCCGGTTTGGCACAGGGGCCACCGAGGCTGGGACCAAAGCCGCGCAGGGCCGGGAGTTGCAGAGCCCGCCGGCCGGGCGTGGATGGCGCGCAAAATCCCGTTTGGGGTGGAGGAGCTTGGGTCAGAATAATTTGCAGGACTAGGGAGGTGCTTAACCTCTTTGGGGCGGCTCCCGGTTGTGCTGTCACCGGCCCTGGGCCCTCGCGGCCCCTAGCCGGGGGTGCAGAAGTCACGGGCCCGAAGCAGCAAGAGCTGGGGAAGTCCGGCCGCGGCCAGCGGGGAGGAGGAGCGAAGGGGTTGCGCCCCCGCGTCAGGGAGACGCGACCCGGGAAAGGGCTGCAAGGGCGACTTCTGTGGGACCCGGACGTTCTAAGCAAATTTCTAGCGTCGGCGCGGGGCTCTCAGCGCTCTCGGGGGCCCTGAGCTGTGGTTCGGAAGCGACCTCCGCGGGGCGGGGCCTCCCGCCCCTCCTGCCGGCGGCCTCCGGCAGGCCCCGTTCCTCCCCGCTAACGCAGCCGAGGTGCCCGCGATGCGGGCTCCGCCGATTGGCTGCGCGACGCGTCGCTCGGGCCGGCCCCGCCCCGCCCCGCGGGCCCCGGGGGTAGTAACCCCGCGCGGGCGGCCAGGGCCCCGCCACTTGATTCTGGAGGATTTGTTCTGGGGCTGCGGCCGCGGAGTTGCGGCGGCCGCGGGCAGGCTTCGGGGTGGGAGGCGGTGGCGGCGGCGCAGCTCCAGGCGGGCCCCGCTGCGGCCCAGACAGCCGGGACCGCCGCGAGAGGCGGCCGCACGCGGGGCGGCGCGCCGGGGATGCGGGACTAGCGGGCGGGCTGCCGGCGGCCGTCGGGGCGGCAAGGGCTTGCAGCGGGCAGGTCCCGGCGGGTCTTGGCCGGGCGCCGCCCCCTGCACCCTGAGGCCCCGGGCCCCGCCGCTTCTGCTTTCCCGCTTCTCGCGGCAGCGGCGGCCGAGGAGGCGCCCGCGCCGGCCGCCCGCCCGGCGCCCTGACGGCCGCTGTTATGCGTATTCCTGTAGACCCGAGCACCAGCCGCCGCTTCACACCTCCCTCCACGGCCTTCCCCTGCGGCGGCGGCGGCGGCGGCGGCAAGATGGGCGAGAACAGCGGCGCGCTGAGCGCGCAGGCGGCCGTGGTGCCCGGTGGGCGCGCCCGTCCGGAGGTGCGCTCGATGGTGGACGTGCTGGCGGACCACCCGGGCGAGCTCGTGCGCACCGACAGCCCCAACTTCCTCTGCTCCGTGCTGCCCTCGCACTGGCGCTGCAACAAGACGCTGCCCGTCGCCTTCAAGGTGAGTACGGGGCCGGGGGCGGGAGGGCGCCGGGGCGGGAGGGCGCCGGCCCTGAGGCGCCGGCCGTCCCCGCTGCGCAGTTCGGGGCCTTGGGAGCCGCGGGAAGGTGAGGTGGCCGAGACCCCGCGGCGACACCCGGGCACCCGGGTCGGCCTCGCTGCGCGCTCGGCTCGGGGACCTCGGCGTCGCGTCTCGGATGCGCCCTGCACAGATGCGTTTTCAGGGGGTTGCCCCGCTCCACCTGGGCCATGGGCAGCTCTGCGTAGAGACGTTGGTGCGGAAACGGGCGGATGGGGTTTCCCGCGCCCTAACCCGGATTGTTCAGACACAGCCCTGCGGGCAACGGAGGAGAGGATCCCAGACCCGGGTTAGGACACCGCTGGTGGGTGCGGAGGGTGAAAGGGCCTATCCTCCGCCGGCAGCACCCCTCCTCTCGCGCCGCTTCACAAACGCTTCCTGCTCACACCCTCCACCTAGGGCTTCTGAAATTTTATGGGACGGCGCTAGGCCGGAATCGGGGCACTGCCCGGCAGACATTTGCTAGGGGATATTCTGCGTCCCTAATGGCTGGTTGAGATTGGGGGACCCCACCCCCACCCCTGGCAGCCCCCAGCCATTCAGAGGACCTTTTTCATTATGCCATAGAGTCGGCGACTGTTTCATTTTCATTTTTTTAAGGGGGCAACGAGATGAAACGAAAACGCCTCGGTTTTCCCCTAAACCTCTCGCAGGCAGCTGCCGTGAGAAAAGGGCAGGGCAGGAAAGGCCGGCGGCTGGGGGTGGTGCTGCCCGAGGTGGCTGGTAACAGCGGCCGCTGGCAGCTGAGGCAGTCCCTGCTCCCATTAAGACGACTCCAAATTGGGGGGGGGGAAGGTTGAGTGGCTTTTTGAGGTCTCCCAGGTGACATCTTAAAATACGAGTGGGGAAAATCTCCCCGGGAAGTGGGGAGGCCCATGTGATTTGAATCGTCAGATCGGAGGTTTTACTGTCACTTGTAGCTTAAAAGGAGTCTTTGAAATTAAAAGAAGACAGGATGTTGACAGGAAATCTGGCCTTTTTAATCAGACCCCAAACATTTTTCTCCTTGAAATTTTTACCATCTGGATCTTGAGTCCCTGCACGCGGCATCCACGTTTAAATGGCTGTCACTGTGTTTAAAGTCTGATTCTTTTCAAAAGGCTGTCTGCCACTCCGTGCTCCTGGGGGTGAGGGGCTGGGGGAGGATGGCGTTTAGGGAGACATCGCCACCCTCATCCTGCACTTTCAAGCAGGTGCATTCTTCTGTCATCAAAAGCCCCCATCTCACTTTAAAAGGGGTTTTCTGGGTGACCCTTCTCAAAACATCCTGCATTTTCTCGGCATAACAAATTTAGCCTCTGCAGAGGCCAATAAACTGGGCCCCGGTCCACATTTTGGGGCCACATTTCATGCCCTGAACAGCTCTTGCGTAAATGCGTAAACTGAGTGGAGGTAGCAGCTCTATTGTTATTGTTGATATTCTTTTCTTTTTCTTTCTTTTTTTTTTTTTTTTTTTTTTTTTTTT